ATAGCCAGCATGGCTTCACCGAGGGCAAGTCCTGCCTGACAAACCTAGTGGCTTTCTATGATGGTGTGACAACAACAGTGGACAAGGGAAAACCAACAGACATCATCTATCTGGACTTCTGCAAAGCCTTTGACGCGGTCCTCTGCAACATGCTTCTCTCTAAATTGGAGAGCTATGGATTTGATGGGTGGACTGTTTGGTGGATAAGGAATTGGTTGGATGGTCACATCCAGAGGGTAGTGGTCACCGGCTCGATGTCCGGATGGAGACCAGTGATGAGTGGTGTCCCTCAGTGGTCCTTACTGGGACCGGTGCTGTTTAATATATTCATCAATGACTTAGCGAGATCGAGTGTACCCTCAGCAAGTTTGCAGATGACACCAAGCTGAGTGGTGCAATTGATATGCCAGAAGGACGGGATGTCATCCAGAAGGACCTGGACAGGCTGGAGAGGTGGGCCTGTGTGAACCTCATGAGGTTCAACAAGGCCAAGTGCAAGGTCCTGCACCTGGGTTGGGGTAACCGCTGGTATCAATACACAATGGGGGAAGAAAGGATCAAGAGCAGCCCTGCCGAGAGGGACTTGGGGGTACTGATGGATGAAAAGCTGGACATGAGCCAGCAATGTGCACTGGCAGCCCAGAAGGCCAACCACACCCTGGGCTGCATCAACAGAAACATGGCCAGCAGGTCAAGGGAGGTGATTCTGCCCCTCTGGTGAGACCTCGCCTGGAGTACTGCATCTAGCTCTGGAGCTCTCAACACAAGAAAGACATGGAACTGTTGGAGCAGGTCCAGAGGAGGGCTACTAAAATGATCCGAGCGCTGGAGCCCCTGTCCTATGAGGCCAGGCTGAGAGAGTTGGGCTTGTTCAGCCTGGAGAAGAGAAGGCTGTAGGGAGACCTGATTGCGGCTGTTCAGTACTTAAAGGGGGCCTATAAGAAAGATGGGGAAAACCTTTTTAGCAGGGACAGCTGTGACAGGACAAGGGGTAATGGTTTTAAACTGAAGCAGGGTAGGTTTAGACTAGATACAAGGAAGAAATTCTTTACAATGAGGGTAGTGAAACACTGGAACAGGTTGTCCAGAGAGGAGTGGAGGCCCCATCCCTGGCGACATTCAAGACCGGGTTGTACAGGGCTCTGAGCAACCTGATCTAGTTAGCAGTGTCCCTGCTCCCTGCAGGGGGGTTGGACTAGATGACCTCTAGGGGTCCCTTCCAACCCAAAACATTCTGTGAATCTATCTATCTAGCTGGTTTCTAGCTCTCAAAATAGACTATGAACATGGAAGTCATTTGCAAAGGTAGCAAAAAGTAGATGAAGTCTGAGATGATACAGCTCTAGGAAATTCACAGAGGTGAAGGAAAGACTCTGGGATATTGCATGTAAACTGGGAAAGAAGTGAGGAAAGCTGCCTGTGTTCCTCTTTCCTGCAAGATGCTCTTGTAAGATATTTGTACTGAAACTCTGAGCTCAGGCTGTCCAAGAACCTGTTTTCTATGAGCAGAAGGCTGGCATACAGATACAACATCAGTTTAGGTACTTCAGCAAGGTTTGAGGGTAAATCAAACTGTTCACGCTTTCATAGCCACTGTCGCTTACTTCCTGGTGCTCATCTATCTATACTAACTAGTCTCCTTAAGAACTTAATTTTATTATGGCATGCTTCATACTAGGTTCTGTACAGACTAAGTAACTGTCTGTAGCACTCTTACAGTGAAACAAGAAGAACCAGGAGTTTCTCTGCAGATACAGTCCATTAACTGGTAGAGCCTGTTCACACACATCAATAGTAACTCTGTACTGAGTCCTGCAAACATCCCTTTAAATTCTGCTAATACATGCTTTCAGTTCTTGCTTGTATGCAGACAAGCAAATGTGACATATCCCATTTAAATAAGTTTAATTTGGATCTATCCTGACTTAAACCATTTCTATTGTATCTTCTGTAAATGCTTGTATTTAATGAAGAAATTGGCTGAGTCTGGCTTACTATTAAATGTTATGCTGAAAGCTAGGAATAAATGTGTGTTCTTGGAATAGCAAAGTCTCAATTACAAATGTTTCAAGGAGGATACAGTGTTTGACAATAAATACATAAAAAGTATCAAACCACCTATCAGTTGTCACCTGCAGATCTCAGACTTCCAAGAAGCAGCTAAGGTCTTGTAAATAAAGTGTGTGTAGGTGGGTGACTTGTACTCTTCTGTATCTTAAGATACCGTGCGAGTTTGTTCTTTTAAATGTTCATCTACTTACACTGGGAGTTAAGATACTTAATTTGTCTCGATGTTAAAACAGGAGAAACTCTCCCACCTTGAAACAAGTGAGTTTTGGTAGGTAATAACAAGCTTCTTGTCCTTGTTATAGAAAAACTTTTGCTTATTTGCCTTTGCGAGTTTGTTCTCTCCTATGCAGATATTGTTTTTTAAGGATTGTTTTCACTTAAAAGATTTGACTTACAAAACTTATTCTTTCCCACATTCTTCAACTCTTGAACATGTACTGCACCACTATTTTGAAACTCTTACTGAGTATCAGCAATGTGTATATGTGAGACCACAGGATACTCTTCACATTTATAGTATCTTACTGACTTGCATCAAGCGATGGCTTGAATGAGAGGAATACCCTTCACAGATTAGGATGCTGATAGTGCTGCCTTCATGGTTCACTGGAATTTCTTTACAGTAGGAGAACTAGAAACCTGAAACTTAACTAATTACATGGAATACCAAAGTACAAAGTTGAGAGTGTTTTAACGAAAGAGGAAGCGTGTGTGCGTGCATGTATATAGGAAGAAGATGTGAAACTAATAGTAATTGGATAGGTATGGGAGAGAGCTGGGGCTGAAAGTTAACATCTGCTAGGTTTGCAAAGCTACATTATTAACTTAATGACCTGTATTCAGTTTCACTATAGCCATGTAAAATTTCAGTTAAGTTACAAATACTCATGGATATTAGAAGAATTAAGCCTCCATTAACCTGAATTACTATAACCCAAAATTATGTAAGTTTTTCTGAAATATCTGGGGTCAGGGTTTAAATTGAAAGCAGTAATTTGGTTATAGCTACTTGGTGACAAGTAAAAATTGAACAGCGTATGCATCTCATCACAGGAATCGTGGTGTATTTTCTATCCTCTAAGGTGGGGAAAGTGGAGAGAATGACGATCATTGGATTGATTGTCCTGTTGGGTTTACTTTAAAAAAAACAGGAGCTTTGTTCTTTTTTTTGCAGCAACGGATCTTCTTTTGGCTTGGAATCCCATTTGTCTGGGCCTGGTAGAGGGAGTCATTGGTAAAGTTCAGCTTCATACAGGTATGTTGTTTTTTGTTGTGTGTGTGGAGTTCTTCTTTTTTAACTGCTTTATTCTAAAATCAGTTATACTATAGATAATGCTGTGCAGCTCAAATGGAATTATGTAGTATTCTTTGCAATGGAGGAGTACTCCCCAACTATGTGAACTTGTCAAAGTGATTATATTATAGCTGCAGATGCAAATTCCCTCCACTTTCCAGTGAATATGTTTTGGTTTGTCACTGTTCTGTAAAAATGGAGAATTTCATTCGCAAAGAGTAGAAATTTGTATTTGAAGTTCTGTCTGAGGCTCCATGTGAGATGCGTAAAATTCTTGCACTTTGAATAATCCTTTCAAGCAGTTTTTTGTTGTTCTTCTATGGTACAGTGCAAAAACTAATGATGGAAGTTTTCACAAAAAATATAAGGCTTGAATTCTCAGTGCTATATGAAAGCCTAAAGAACAATTACTGCCTTGCTAGATGACTATTTGAAAGCAAAAGGAACACTTAAACTTATTTATAGTTAAACATAAGACATAGCTATAAACTGAAAGTGGGCATAGAATGCATTATGATTTGGTGTTAAGCCTGTCTCTAACTGATTCTAGTAACTTTTTCCTGTAAAGTAAGGTCAATGCTCTTTTAGCTTCAGTCAACTGCAAATTTCTGTAGCCATAATAAATACTTATTTTGATACATGCCAGCTTTGTCTAGAAAGATTCTTCTGCCAGTAGAGCTCTGGATATCTATTTACTGACAGGTAGAAAAGCTAGCCATAAACTCTGCTTCGCTTCCTGTGTGCTGTTCTTTTTGTGAATGCTTAGACCCTGCATTTAAAGTAGTGCTTGGCAATTTGATCAGTACAGGTAAAGTTTCAAGTGTTTCCAGGCTAGCAGGATGGACTAAGTGCTGAAATGGATGTTTGTGGTCTGTTGAATAGAAGCAGATTAGCCAGGATGGTGGTAGCATACTAGCAATAGGGGAGGAAGGAAAACGGCGACTGGTACACCAGTGTACCATGAGTGTATGACAGATCTAGTTCTAGGAAATGCTTGGCTCCAGAGTTACTGTAACCCCTAGGTCTGGCTTCTGAGAGTAATAGTTCAGAGCCCACCTCTCCATGAAATTTGTGATCACGTCCTCCTTCCGATTGCATCGCTTTGTCGTCTTTGAATTTCACCTGATATTTTTGCCTGTGCTCATTCTACAGATCTATTCAGCCACCCTTTTTCAGATCTGATGATATGAAGTGGTTCACACTTTGCCATCTCACTTTGTCTCTTCATCCAGGTTGTCTAGGCTGTTCAGCATGTGTTACTTGTGATGAATGATGGCTAAACTCCAGTAATGACCTCTTCATGCTGTGGGAGAATGCGTGTTTCTAGCATGGGGTTTTTGTGGTGGTGGTGGTTTGTTTTGGTTTGGTTTTTTTTTTGTAAACCAAGCCTTTAAGTACATAAAGGCCTTCCCCCCCCCCGCCCTTGGAGTCTAGTATAAAAGCCCTTGAAAGGGGAAGACAATGTCAAAAGCTTTCTTGAAGGTCAGTATATTATGGCAACCAAATATCCTTGCATGCATGCTTATTGTAGGTACTTCCTCTGCTTATGAAAGCTGAGTTGAAACTTTCCCCAGCATGTGACACTTCAACAGCTGCCAGCTTGCTGTTGTCAAGTAAATTAAGATTATCAGGTAATAAGCCTGATATCTGGTTGTCTTTCCATATGTCCTGTAGAGCTACTGAATTGATTATGCTCATCCAGGCACTCGATTCAGTTGCTGCTTAGGCCAGTGGAAGCACTTTGTTTCCTCTCTGCTGTGCTCAGATGACACCATCGCAAACTGTTCATAGGCTATCCTTCTTGTTGTTGATATTCTGGTATTTAGTGAGGTAACTGTCCTGTAAACAGACATTTATTTTCTACCTTTAAATGTCTGAAGAAAGATACAATCTCCAGCTATTTATTCTTAGTCTTGATGAAAGCTACTGTTCCCTTGAGTCTGCTGACAGTTACTGATGAGTGTCCTTTGCTGGGCTGCAGTCAAAACGAGAGGGCTGACTGAGATGTCTTACATAGGTCTCTTGAAACCTATTATTGTCAATGATCTCTCACTTGAACATATTCAAGTGTAGTTTTATGTAATCCTCTAGCTGAATCATCTAGCACTCCGTAACAGTAACCCGTCTTTATTACTTATTCTTGTCACCTGGAAACTTTATCGGCAGAAGTTGCATAAATATTTAACGTTGCTGGACCATTATCTCCAGACTTAGTAAGAGTACTGTGCTGCAGAAGCTGGGTGAAATGCTCTTCTCCCAGAGCTGATCTGGAACAGGAGAGCTTGTTGCTCTGACATCTTCTCCCCTGCCAACAGACTATAATGTTCAGAAAACTGAATTTGAAACTCTTTTGGCTAACTAGCATCCTGTATGGGCTTGTACTGCTCAGAACATTGTTATCAGCTATTGTTGGAAGCAGTACTGGTGTGCTTTTAAAATGCTTAGCACATACTGATTAATACTGGAAACTTTAAATACCTTTTTAAGCATTGAAGCTGCTACCAGTGCATTCTAAACAACGAAATGTTAATTGAGTACCAGAATGCAAGGATATACTCTCTTACCTTTTTTGGGCCCATCCCAAGATGACTTATAAGAAAATGTGGAGTAAAAATGGGAATAGAAGGAAAAGAATTGTAGGATGTATTTATACTGAAACAGAACATTGCACATTTTCTTGGTAGAGATGCACAATTAAAACTGCCTCTGCATGATCTTCCCATATAGAGGCAAGCACATCTCTTTCATAAACAGTGTCTCCCTTATAGAATGTTAATTTTGTTTTCCGGTCCAGTCAGTGCATACATACAAAATATAAATGTGGCCCCTCAATTTCCTTTTGTCAAAATCCCAATATAGAACTAGAAAGAGGTGGTGTTATTTTTTTCTTAGAATAAAAAGCAGATACTTTAATCCACTAAGATGGTAACAGTAGCCTGAAATTGAATCACTTTTGATCAGAGACTCCTTAGCAAGTTGATCAAACATTGTAGTGGTAGAATATGCTGAGAGTTAATTCTGTATATCTAACTGTAACCAAAGCTGCATTTCTTAACCAGTTCCAGCAACTTCCACTTAAGTCGTTCATTGCCACCACGTGTTTTTCTGTTTCTTGGTCAAACCACATTCCTATGCAGTTTAATGTCTGTACTTGTATCAATTTGGTGTGCTCTTCCAGTGCTGGTTAATTAGGACCCAAATTAAATGCTGCTGGCAATGTTCCATAGACTCAGTCAACGGAAGGGAAGGCAACAGAAGGGAAGGCAACGCTTTTTTTGTTAGCATGCCTCTAAATCTTGAAAGAAGCAATGAGTGGTTCAGTATCTGAAGTCTCTTCAGTGAGACGTAACTGCTGTCATTTCTAACTTCATCCAGTTAACAACTTAAAATATTCTTTTGCATGCAACTCATTTTTAAGTTATTCAAGTAACAAAAAATAAGAAAATGGTGGCATGGAATTTCTTGGCTAAAATCAAAATACTTGCAGAAAGCAGCCTTTATAGTAAACTTAAGCACAGCTTAAGAAAAGCTGTGGCAAAAGCTTTTAGGGAAACTAAATGCTAGATTGTTTAAGAAATGTTAGAGAAAATAAACAGCAGTAGTGTGCTGCCAGTGTTGAAGCAAAAGAGGAGCTAAATTCCTATTTTAGTGAGGAATGGGAGGTAATACCTTACTTTAGATGTAGTACTTCAAATTAGTTGTTGCCATCTGCTCTGCCATAGTTCATAAAACACTAAAAATGTTCATTAGATCTTAAGAGATGATTTAAAACATGTAGTCTTCCGGAATGACATATAGCTGTAGTGTTCATCTTCTGTACACATGAAACCTCCCACATTGAGTAGGCAATAACTAATTTTTTTTTTAAAGCTGTTCTATGGAACTACTTTTAACTGCAAAAGCGTATTCTTTATTCAGGGATTCAGTTATTTAGATATTGCTGGCAATTATAATATGCTGCTTTGGCTATTGTTGAAGCTTTTACTTTAGGGCATACTTTATCTGCATAATTACTTCCTGACTGTTTTCTTTTGATCTGCTGAGGATTTCCTGTTTTCTTTCAATGTTCTGTGGCTCTGGCTATAATACAAATAAAGTTTTGAAATGTACACCAAGATGACTTTGAGTGTATTTTTAAAAATGGTAAAAGGATACAGAACTCACTTGGCTGTATTAAGCTTTAAGTCCTTGTTTACTGCTATGAGGGTTTGTTAATATGAGGTAAACTGAAGAGTAGCCAGAGATTTTTCTCTTTCCCAGTTTCGACTAAGGTGTATCTGCTTAGAAATGGCTTTACAGTATAATTTTTTCCAGTGGAATCATATTGGTTATTTCAATGGAGCTCTAGATGGTACCCTTTCTCAAAAAAGTATATTTTGTTTGTTGACATACTCCTATGAGGAGATTGCCAGTGTAAGTTGTGTGGCTAACCTTCTGTAGGTGGGAATAGATGAGATTATAGGACTGCTCAACAGGAATATCAGTCTGGATGGCCTACTGTACTACCCTTCTGTTAAGCTTGGATTGCTCTGGGTTTCCAGAAACTGTATTTTTTTTGCCTACTGGAAAGCAATATATAAAGTGATGTCTTCATCTGTTGCTGGTGTTTTTGACAGCATTTCAATTTCCCCTTTTTAAAAGGATTTTCTTACCTATTCATTGGTCTTCTCACTGTTGCTTAGAATCTGTCCTGTTTTCCTCAGCTTCCCTTTTATTTCCACCTTACCCCCGTGGCTGCTAGGTGGAATGCTGGAGGCAAAGGCAGCTGTTCTTCAAGTCACGTTTCCTGTAGCTGTACAGAAAAGCTGTTCCAGTACCTGCTTCAGTGAGGATAACCGTTTTGCTGGCATTTGCTGTCACTCTCTTGTCCTTATTTGTTATCCTTTAACCAGTTTTTAGGAGACTATGCTTGTGTTACGGCTTTGAGTAACCTGGTCCAACCTCAGAGCTGACCCTGCTTGAGCAGGGTAGCATCCTGAGATCCCTTCCAACCTGACTTGTCTCTGATCCTGCAGGGATTATGACTCTGATGCTGTGTTCAGGAAGTTGTGCAGGACTCCCTTTAGAAGGTTACATATTAAATAAGTGGTGCATGTCTTCATTCCCCTTCTCCTGTTCCCTTTTTGGGGGGTAGCCTCTGGTTCTCACAGCATATTTGTAATTAAGAGGACCTGTAATTTTTAAACTCTTCTTAGTACCCAACATAACCACATCTCTTTTCTAAAGAAAGTAATATAGAATCAGAGTTAGGAGTGGGGTGTCATAATGGACAGCAGTCTATTTACAATGATTATTCCTTTTCTTTAGATAGAATAAACTGCTGCTTATACATAGGTTGTCAGATTTGGGTTGAAATTTTTAAGGTGTTTTTAATTGCAGTTATTGGAAAGATGCTCACAATGTTGATAGAGCTTTAATTCTATGCTGAGAGTATATTGGAAAATCTCAGAAAGAGGAGTTCTGGGTGTCCTGTGACTTCAAACATGTTATCCTGGGTTTTTCTTAAGCACTCAGAGGATAAAATACTGTTTAGAACTTACTGAGCAAGGAAAACAGACTTTGTGTTTGCTGTAAAGCCTCTAAATAGATTTTTTTTTTTTTGAAGGCTGTATATTGTATTCAAAGGCATAATACATGACATAATCTACTGCCACAAGTGTGGAAGCATGTTTAAGTCTACCAGAGCAGGCTTTTAATGTCTGTGTATGACCTGTTCAGTTAAACTTGGTTGGTTGCTTCTCAATTGGGAGAAATAGTGAGTGTATATGTGTGTCTCTAAGACTTTCTGTGCCTTTTCCATCTCTCTTAAGAGAACTTTCACTTTTGACTCAAAATCCTGGCATACTACTAGCATGCTAGTGATCTAACCAAGGGATTAAATCTAGGAAGCTAATGTCCAGGCACTATTTGGCAGTCAGTGGGAATGTTTGTTGTTCTGTTTCCCTGTCTCTTTAAAGTATTGAAGCTATAGCTGCAAATGTAGATTGATTGTGTGTATGGAATGCACCTGTTACCAATATCTTCATTAATCTCTGACTCATTAATTTCTACATGACTTAAATGCATATACTTCAGGAATGCTGTTGTGAAGCTTTAAGCATACACGAGCTGCTTTATGATGCAGTCTGTGTTTGCTCACCAGATTTCTTAACTCGTGAATCTTGTAATCACATGTCTATCTTATCTGCTGTTTTATATACAACAGAAGGTACAAAGGGAAAATCTTAGCTTGCTGTCTGTTGAGCTCCAGCTGCTCTTTATAAATTGTACTGCCATTAGTGACATTGGTGGGGATGTGCATCATCCTAGAGATTGCCTAATTGCCTTAGGTGAAGCAGTGGTAACTATATTAGAGACTAAATGTTGGGTTTTAGAGTGGGGGTTTTGGTGGGTTTTTTTATTGCAATGCATAATAACAAGACATAGCAATAGCGAATCATCATTCACCGGAGTCTTGCAGTCAAATGGTTCCTGACAGGGGTTTTACACCAGGGAGAAGCTTCTGCAGACTAATCAAAGTAAATGCCTGACAGACAAATCAAAGCATCTACTATTTTTTTTTCCAGATTTACCGTGGTGGCTACTTCTAATTCGTCAGAAAGCACTGATTGGCAAACTTCCAGGAGACCGTGAGGTTTGCAAAATAACAAAGATTGCAGTGATTCCACTTTCTGAAACAGAACCTCAGGATCTGGAATTAGAGGTATGGCTATCCTCAATGAATTCTGACTTTCTCCCTGTAAACTATGATAGGAACCTTGGTTTTTTGCTTTAAAAAAAAAAAGCTTTCCTGATCGCCTCTTAATGACTAGGATGGTAAGACTTTCAGTAAATCCTAGTACTCTAAGATGATGAACACTGTGGTTAGTAGACTATCAGGAGAACAATTCTGTTCTCAGACTTCAGGCTTCTTTTTTGAGTGTGTGTGGTGGGGGGAAGATGATGGTGGGACAGGATGACTTGTGATAGTCTCTGTGGTGCCTGTAT